GCTGTAATAATGTAATACCATTTATTTTCATTGTCATATTGTCATTTCCCTATTTTGATGTTTTGAATATATTCACTGTGTTTTAATTTAATGAATTTGTCAAGGAAAGAATGAGTTTTATTGTTATTTACATGTTCACGTATATTTCATTTAGAGGATTTTACTTGTTAACGAAAATAGCGAAATTAAAACCCAGTGAATAATTAATTACAATACTAGTAATTCGTAAACTCGACAGACATTGGTCGTTAATAAAGCCGGCTTTATTTCCCATTGTCTACAGCAAAGCGAAACATGGTTCACTCACGAGGCCAGCTATTTTTTTACAATCACAAGGGATTCAGTAGCCATCTGGTAGCAGCAGAAACACGCCCAACTTCCACATGTTGTGCAATTAATTACTAGTCATTGTATTGTTTAGTTCATAACCTCGATCGAGTCCAGTAAAAACGAGGTTCTGTGATGCTTCACACTTTTTAATGTTTTTTTTTAATTATTACCTCTCAGACTTCAACGAGTGTTACAGTAATCCATGCCAGCATGGGGTGTGCAGAGATCAAATCAACGAATACGAGTGTGAATGCAATGCGGGATATACAGGCGATAATTGTGAGACTAGTAAGTATAACCCAGGGTATATGTAACTTTTGACGTGAATCATAAATACGCGATGATTCGCATCAAATACTACGTGTTTTGTTCGGGCATGTTGTTTATTAAGTTCTTGTAAGTTATAATAAACATCGCGCTTATTGTGATGTTTAATGGAAACAATTTGTATATTGAACAAATTCTACCATTGCCCGAAATTTACCCCCCCCCCCCCAATAAAACATCGCGTACGTCTAGTCGTTGCATCGCAATCGTCGTGGAAAACGCGTTCACATTTTGATGTTTACTTGCGTTGTATACGTCGAATGGGTGAAGTGACGAAAGTGCCACTTTACGCAATGTATACATATTAATATATGTTTTGTTATTTTTTTATTACAGAGGTTGTAGCGCAATTAGAAGCGGAATCGGATTTACTCTTGGAGCCAATGTGGATAGCAATTATAGTAATTTTAGCGTGTTTAATTATAGTATTTGGAATAATATTAATATGTACATATGCGAGGAAGGAATACAAAAAATAGTTAATTTTATCATTTTATTCAAAGCTAAAACCTAATCTATGCAATATTACTTATGTTTCATCAACTGAAAAAATGTTGATAATTATGAAAAAAAAATCGATTCTGCATTTGTAAAAAGGAAATATCCAAATAAATCCTCGGAACATTTTCATCATGTAAATCTATGACCACCAAGAAGACAGATGAGTAAAAAGCATTCTCCTCATTGCCGATGAGAGAATCTCTAACACTCCTCAAATACTGACGTTGAGGGCAGCGCATCCTATTGAACTAAAATTCCAATCTTTGTTTTTTTTGATTTCCAGAATATAATATTGCCCATAATAACTTGAAACTCCAAGTGTTTTTTTTACACTAAATTCAACACAAAATATATTGGATACAAAAAGCTAGCCCATCACAGAGATACTATTTCTTCCACGTTTACAATAAAGACAGTCAACATCGCCCCAATTGTTGGATATGTAGAGTCAGAAAAAGATACGAGATTTGATTTGTAATCTATTTAAGAGTTCTTCTCAGTAATATTTTTAGACCGTGGTACGATTTTTTTTACTAATATATATCGTGCACATGCCACTGTCATCCATGTGACAGCAAGTCCCACTTCTAGAAATCATTTTTAGTTTCCAGAAATCGGTTTAATGTGAAGGATAATCATTTCAGTTGCCCGTTTTGTGTTTTTTGTTTGTTGTTTTTATAAAAAACTGACACCTTGAGCTCGAATGAATGTTAAATTATCAATTTTAAAGCAGTTAAAACGTCACCATGTACTAACGATTGCGTAGCTACTCATTCACGTTACCGCTTAATAATTATGCAAACCTTTGCACATGCGTGATTAACAAATTAATACGCGACACACATTTTTAGTGATAAATCATTTTTTTTGAGGAATTCTGTTAAATATTATTGTACATGGATTATTTAATATTGTTGTATGTTATCATATTCGTATTTTTTACAATAATAAACTTTCACGCCAGAAGTAACGTTTAGCATCACTATATTATTTATCTTTAGAACCCATCTATACAAGAACAAAATGTAAATGCACTAATTAAGTGCCAGAACCGAGATGCCAGGACCCAGCTGTAGACTGGTATTCATAATACAAACTTTGAATGAAACAACAATTTTTTATGAAGCAAAATGAAACATATCGAACTGCTTGCGTCAAAACAGACTAAAACTAAAACTCTGCCATGAATAATACTCAGAGTAGTAACGTACATTTAATTTGTATTTGTACTTTTGTATTTAGGCAATGTTTGTCCCAGAGCGAAATATATTAGATACACAACATGGATGCACACGATTTCATCTATCCAATGTTCTATTTAATTTGAAAGTCAAAAGAACAGTACTGTTGTCTGGTGCAGCATCGATATAACACTGTTTCTTTATAACGTGTGGTATTTAAACCTCAAATATGGGGACAAATGGGGATTTTTACCATTCTAAGGGCTTTTGAAATCGAGGAAGTAGCTCTGTAAAAGCGAGACAAACTCTGCGTCCACACAACTGATAAATTATGCTGTTGGAGTTGTCCCCACCTGTCAGTTAATGATAAGTAGGAACGATTTATGAAAACAATACAATTACCATATCAGGCAGTTTACGCAGAATATTGTTTCACCATAGAATGTGTGAAAATGCGATACGCGACACGGCAATTTGAATATAAATGACAATACTATGATAAATGTATACTGTCTATATAAATAGCGTTTTAATAGAGAACATAACAATTGTGCGTTGCACAAGATAACGTTTTTCGATCGACGTTTCTAAAACCGCCATCCAACGCCACTGTAACATAGTACTTAATACAGCTCGGTGTTTGTCATAGACCGTCACTCGTATATACCATCATTTATCAGTTTCTATTTTTAATACAATAATTTGAGTGACAATTCAGTCACGTGATAGACATATAATTGATAATTAGGGGCTATTTTAATCACGTACACCAGCTAAAGTCACATTCAGTGTACAACTTCGTCGCAGACCACTACCACTGCAGAATTGAATATTTTATCACTATGGCTTTTTCAAAAACTATCTTGTTCATCTTTTTCGCAGTTACGATGATATTGGTTCAAGGTAATGTACAATTTATACTGTTTTCATATTGTAGTTCACCATAAATGGTGCAACGCGTCGAGAGTGCCTTTACCCGTGACAATGACAGGTTTATTATATACAAAAAATACAGTAATACTCAGCACAAATTGCAACTGCTAATATTTAAAACATTAGCCTTTGAACTCATTTTCTTAAATTCAATATTGAATTGAATATTATTTTATTGTGAGTAGGCGAGTACTGTCGACATATCTTTAGACATATAAATATTGAACAATACATTTCTTTTGAACAGGAATGCCGAGGCTGTCGAGAGGGGCCAGTACGGACGACTCGTGTGACAACTTTGTCTGTGAAAATGGAGGCACTTGCTTGTCACTGTTCGACTATGGATTGACGGGTGTCGTTTGTTTATGCCCCCAAGGTTACGAAGGAACTCACTGCGAGACAGGTGAGAAAAGTGACACAAAGTACTAATACGCCTTTTCCCCCATCTATTGACATAACTCTTATGTCGTAATAACAAAACCAGTTTAAAACGTCGATTTTTAATCTGCAGTAGTCTATGAAAATTAAGTTTTTGAGAGATTTTACTATGATCTACGTATAAACAACGAAAGACTGCACAAACACATTGCCTTCACCCATATACATCATTCTGATACCATAGAAACGCGATACCATAGAAACCCTTTACCACTAACACCGTTAGGGAGAAAGGCCTGCACAGAACGTAAAAAAATGATAATTATTGCTGAAAGGATTTGTGGGTTGAATGTTTTATTGTGATGCATCTGCTCCGGATTGTTCAAAACTATGATGGGACTAAACTGCCCCTATTATTGTGATGAATACCTGCAAAAACTAAAGAATGACGTTATTTATATGAATTTATGAAAGAAGTTCAGCACAAAGAATCGTGTTATACATTGTTATGCATGCACTCACTGTCATGCCGAGACTAATAGATTTTCTTCGAGAGGCATTTTGAGAATGCTTCGTCATTATTCCCAGAAAAAAAACTGCGAATTTTTTTGAAATCATTTTGTTTGTTTCGAAGTACGCTTTGTAGTTACAATCTATAATACTGCATACAACAACTCTATGGGTACATTATTAACCATCGACTTATGTTTTTTTTCTATTACAGAGTCACAAGATTGATGTGATCTGATAACCCATAAACTTGATTTAACTCTTAGTGAACAATAAATGATGTAGTTAATGATTTAATGTGGATGAGTTTGTTGTTTTCTGTATTTGAAGTTCAGTACGGTACATGCAGTCCAATCTGTTAGTCAGAATTTCACAAGATACACATTTTAAGTTGTATATTAGATGAAAAAAGGAAATCATTCTAAGAATAGGGATTATTCAAAGATTTCTCAAACAGTATGTGGTATTCGTATATGTAAAATCCCACATTCGTCGTATTCAATTTCATGAAAACAAACCAGGTATTTGACAAGCGCTTTACATCGGGTAGGACCCGCATACATAAATGACAACCATTGTTTATAATACGTTTTTGCTTCTGTTCTTCAGAAAAAAAAATCCACAAGCCAGAGAGATTACGTTTGCCACAAAATGTACCAATCGCGTGTCTCATTTTAGTATTACCGCTAAATTATGAATACGTTAAGTTTATAACGAATACAACAATACTCATCAATCATTGGTATCACTGTCTACATTATCTAGAAGAGAATTAAGTTAAATATCTTACGAGACACAGGAGAGGTTGTCATTTTTGATTTGAAAATATGCACACGACTCTCATTAACCAACTTTAGTACGAACGACAATAACACAGCAGACAGATAACAAATTATGTATATTCTTTTTATTCAGAAATGATTTTAATAGTTCCTGCACACTAATGCATTTAACGGTCCGATTGATGATAATTGTATACATGGTTGTACATATAGCTATATTTTTATCAATAGCATCAATCGATCGGCACAAAGGTGGCCACGATATTCCAATATACATGAACCAATACGGTATTACTGGTAACTGACATGTTGTGCATAGTGTACGCATTTCTTAATATTGGATAACTATAGCGTAGTTTAAGTAAATATGCCATCTTCAGTATCAATGCTGATTGGAAAATCACTTCGTGTATGGTGTCAACACATAAATTGACTTGTGCACACGTCATTTCAGGTTTGCTGCATGCTACAGAATAAACTTGCAACAATGCAAATGGCCAGTTTGATTTGTACACAGAAATCAGTTGATATGAAGAATACGACTCCCACTCATCGCTCAATATAAATAACTAAACAATTTCCAATTATTTAACCAATATTTGCAGTGTCAGTGTTCATAAAATTATGATTTAAATCTAAGTATTCGTGCAACTCATTTGCAATCAATTTCTGCCATCATTATTTAGTCCGAGAATCTAGGAATGTCCAACATATTCAATACTATATATGTGTCTATAGAGGGCGCTTCATAACTCTAAGTGGCCAAAGTCAAAATGTACAAGGTGAAATAGCACTAAATTGTATGGTACATGTATATACTTTAATATTTTTTGTATTGCAAATTATGATAATTGTTTTCAAATATTGATGCATTCTTTTGATGAAATACTGAAACAAATACTGCTATGTTTGCTACCAAAACTGATATTTTTTTTTCGCAAGATGCAATATAAAAAAACGTAAACAAGCTCACGGGCTCATTATTCGTATTACTTCAACCTTTCCTATACACGAAATGTACATTTATTTGCTCCTTGGCCCTTTGGGTATCATTATCTTACTTCTTCATAGGAAAGAACTTCCTAAAATTCGAAGGTTGTCTGTAGCAATATTTACAATAGAAAGCATATAATTTAAAAATGAAAAATTAAGTGTTAAATTTACCATCGAAATCATTATCAAATGCAAGTTCTATAGAAAATGACGTTTGGTTCCAAAACCTCCACGTCTTGTATAATCATAGGTGATAATTGTTTAATAGTTACACCAACATGCATAATACATCCGTTCAGTTTCAACCACGTACATTAGCTGGATAATCTTAGATTCGCCCTTAAAAGTAACATATTTACGCCCCCTAAATAGCTATATACTCTATCATTGTAAAGGCGTTGATATACATGTTGCTACACCTCACGGGCAGCTTTCTCTTAAATGGCATCAGTTGACAACTTATTCATTTACAAATGTTCACCTTTCCGCTGCTCGGTATCATCTCGTTCACCGTGTTTGGATGCTATAATTAGCATAACAATATATATGAGAGTTGTGGTGAGCGACAGGGTTAAAATAACGTACATTAACGTAGACATACTGTATGCCGTAATCAGATAGCCTATCAACCAGGGAAACGTCATTTCGGAGCCCGCAGCTGCAATGACAAATACAGACGTTGTTTTACCAGTCAGATCAATGCAACGCCTAGACCAAACTATCCCTAACGGGAACATACCCCATTGATATACCCAGTAGAGCCCTAGCGCCCCACAATACACCAATATTTCGGTACCCAAATACAGCCAAGAGCGAACTAGCAATACACAGTCCGCATAGATCTGAAATTAACATTGCCCTCGGAGTCATGCATGCACTTAGCCAACCCAATGGGCATACCACGTGACAGTGCGAAACTTCCCCAAAACGCAGAGTTGAGAAAACTCGCAACGTGGGCGGTGAAACCAAGATTAGACTTCATAGCAAATGTATAAACGAATCCACCATATGCACTCTGGCATGGCGTGGCACCAATGTAGTAGCATATAAAAACGTTAGGGCAGCTAAAAAATTGAATATTGCTATGATAATGTAAAGAATTAATAAAGAGTTTCTTCCCATGTTATCATTCTTTTATAATCAGTCTGAGTGTTATTATGGTCAATATTTAGATCGGAGAATGCACTGTCATTAGTACCAATGTCAGTTCTAGTTATTCTTGCTACTGTAGATGTTGTAAGATGTATCATGCTCTCTTCATCATCTCCCATAGTCATTTTGTTAACAGAAATGTCCTCCATTCTTCCCACTTGGATATTTTGAGTGAATACCTGCGCATTTCCATCTATATTCATCAATTTAGTTGAGTCGTTCTTAGAAGTGAATATTGAGTGGTAAGGGGATCCATACATTGAATGGGTTGACATCTCATCAACGAACCGCTGTGTATAACCAGGTTCTAATGTATCGACAGTAAATGTCACTAGCGTTGTCGCCATTTCTGTTACATTACTTTCCATTGGTCAGCATTTCAGCCTGCGATGGTGAAGTGAGAAATGGGGCTGCTATCAACGGAGCCACAGTGGATCCAAGTGCGTAGAATGAAATGCATTGCCTGCATCCAAGAAGCTGAATCTTTTCCCCAGAGATTAACACATACCATATTGCCTCCTAAATAAAATAAAATTATCATTTTAATTGGCTTTGGGAATTCGGGTTAAAAATTTATAATCTTAGAAAATGTTCTTTGTTAGTGTAATTTGAAACATGTGGTATTTGCACTGGCTGATTGAATGTCATGGTTCGACGAGTCAATATCCATCTACCCTTATTCAATATCAATTAAACATTATGATAGATGTATTTATAGAAATAATAAATCAACATTTTATATATAATATATTTACCCAACGCTGGGAATCCGCACCAAAATCCCTATACTATTAATACTACAGTCAAAAGAGCCATGGAACTACAGAAAGATACGAACACACATGTGACTGCAGTACACATCGTACACAATCCAAGTAGGAGTTGGTTTTCAAAACGATCAAAGCATATCCTTCCAATAACAGACCCAACAGTGTGGCCTGCACTGCGAGCAACGAATATATACAATATTTTCTGTAGAGTTATGTTAACCTGGTTCCTGAGATCCAAAAGACTTGGTCCAATGACAGCTATGCTAAGCCCCTGTAGATTAAAAAAAAGTGTGGTAAATAGTTTACCTGTCAAGGAAGTGACTGATTAAATGATCATACTAAGTCAAAATCGCCCGGCCAATCTATAAGAGTGTCTTATGCAAGTGGTTAAGGATATACAAATGTCATTTTTGAACGGTACCATTGTACAGAAATACATGGGATATACAAGATTGTATATTTTCAACATAGTCTTGTTGTTATTCTAACTACTATCTACACGTACAAAACATATGATATTATCGCATGTGTGCTGTTCTATTCATAATTTAGCAAATATGGTAATACTGAGGTTCAAATAAGTTCCATCTTTTCCCGAGTGGAAAATTATAACATGCTGTTATTGCAAGTTTGAAAGTGAAATTAGCTAGTATACATCTCTTTATACTTAAAATGTTTTCCGATTGTGTATATATATATATACAAATATGGGTTTGGCTGCCGCATAGTTATTTAATCGTGAATAAACTGTACTGCAGTCTCCTGATAAGAAAAAAAACAGTATTATTGAACAGAAATATAAGTAACTCACCAAACCAAACCACGCAATGAATAGCTGAATTGTTTTGATTCGACGATATTTTGTATAAACTTCTTCTGGATCCTTTCTTTTCTTGAGCAAAACTTGCTCTATCAGTGGATCCATCTTGGTTGTATGATTTTCATTGTTGTTTTCATTTGGTAAATCATCCATTGTCAATGGGTAAGGATCTTTTATTTGTTAGGACTATTTGTTAATATCAATCCTGTGTACACTGAACTGTATTCCAATGTGCACTTGCAATTGATTAACGTAGGGATCTTTATAACTTATTCTTAACATATGTACGATATATCGCCCACATGCATGTTTTCATTTAGCGCCAGCCTTGTATGGATATGCATGCAGAATGCGGAGCTTAATTAATTATGTATCCATCTGCACATGCTTGGTATTAAATTCTTAGAACAATACAGATTGTAGTCATTAATATTAAAATAGTCCATATATGCTAACGATTTAAAGGTTGTATAGTATATGAGTAAATACACATTATACATCTGTCAACGTAAGTTACAGCGTGCCGTAATTTTGCGGTATTTTACGGGGCATTTACATCCTACCGTACAAGAAAATGCTAATTCCAAATATGGAATGATTACGCGCGTAAGCGACCACCAATAATAAAAACAAACATAGCTGCCACCTGAGTTTTATACCTCCATGGTTTGACCGGATTCCACACAAAGAAGTTCGCTGATTCTGTTCTAAACTTTTTGGATTCCAGCATTCCCATGATGTATCCTTGGAAGGAAAATATGTATAATAGGTTATTACTAAG